CGATGTTTTTGCAAGTATAAATGGATAGATATCAATCTGGAACCTATGGACATTATGCAGAAACAATTGATGCACCTCCAAATATGTCGAACGCCAGGAGATATCGATTTCCTAATAATGAGTACAAGCTTTAAGGCTCGATGGTCGATGTGGACAAATACTACCCGAGCAGAGACTGTCACAGGATCGAATGTGTCGAGGAAAGATTGCACTATCGATCAGTACAAGGCGCTTTTATACTTCCAGAGTACATCAGGTACCCAGGTTTATCTTATCCTAGGGGAATAGACCCTTCTAGAAGATAGAATCACCCTGCGTATAGCCACGCGGGGCTATTGGCTTTAAGGGATTACAGCAGGATTACGCTAGATAGAGCGCACCAGTACATCCCAAGCCTGGTCTGTGATATAATTATAATAGCAGGATAAACCAAAGGTTAATGGAAAAGGAAGAATAGGAAACCAAATGAGATGGAATAAAAGAGAAATGAAAAAGGAAGGAAGTAAGGAAAAGGCCAAGTGGTGTAACGGGGTCGTACTCTCACACTTCCCCCCTCAAAGCTGGGTGGTAGAAGTAACACCCTGCTTGACAAGGTAGTCATGCAGAGGACAACGGGCGTTACCCATGTCGGACTCAGGTACCCAGCTGTCCTCAGGAAGGATCATAACCCTTCCAACGGATGAGAAGCTCCACGGTGCCATTCCGACGACGGCGGTGTGCGAGCACGGACTCGACCTCGTACTCGGGTTCATTCTGGACGAGGACGGGTGGTGGCGGCGGCGGTTGGCGTCCGACGAAAATCGTGTTCGGGTCCCGATAGGGCTTCAGAAGTTGGACGTGGAAGGCGTTGTGAATCTTCCAAGTAGCTGGCAGGCGTAAGCGGAAGGTAACAAGAGTGACCTGTGCTTCAACGAGAAAAGCCCCCCGGGGGGACGAAGAACAGATGGGAGATGGCTGATGTCCAGGTTGCGGGTGTCAAGAAGCACCTGGTCTCCCCACCGTGATGGTGTGATCGTTGCGATGGCGATCGGCTTGGCGCTTCTGTTGCTGTTGAATGTCGAGTAGGCGCTTGTGGGTCCGATCCCAAAGCTGATGCATGGTTGTGATGAAATCATGTGCTGGTTGGACTGTAGCTGATGCTGTCGGTTTTTGTGGTGTGAGTGGGTGGCGTCCGTAGCAGAGGAAGAACGGCGTCTGTCCAGTAGCGGCATGTGTAGCATTGTTGTAAGCAAACTCTAGTACGGGCAGGTGCAAGTCCCATTTGGAGATCTCGTCCTTGCAGGCTGCTCGGAGGAGTTGCTCAACAATTTGGTTGAGGCGCTCGGTCTGTCCGTCTGTTCTGCGGATGGTAAGTAGATGACATGGCGAGTTTGGTCCCGAGGAGAGACATAAGTTCCTTCCATTAATTGCTGGTGAACTTAGGGTCTTGGTCGGAGATGAGTGTGGTTGGAATGCCATGCTGTGAGATGATGTATCGAACGAAGAGTTGTGCTGTTTCTTCGGTGCATGCTGTCGTGTGTGTCGGGATGAAGTGTCCCATTTTGGAGAACTTGTCAATGACGACGAGGATTGCGTCATGACCGCTGGTTGTAGGTGGTAACCCGGTGATGAAGTCCAGGCTAACCACTTGCCATGGTTGTTCTGGGACAGGAAGAGGCTGCAGTAGTCCCGCCTTTTTCTGCTTGCTGCTCTTCATCCGCTGACATGTATCACACGAGGTGACGAATTTCTGGACATCTTCTGCTAAGTGGGGGCCAGTAGTAGTGCTTTGCGATACCGGTCAGCGGCTTGTTGCTACCGGAAGTGTCCGGCGTAGAGGACGTCGTGGTATTCTTTGAGTAGTAACTGGCGCAAAGGAGGGTAATTGGGTACCCAGATTTTTGTTGATCCTTTCCGGTACGCGATGTCACTGTCCCACAGTAGCAGATGTCGCTTTTCTGCCAAGGGAATTTCGGGGTCGGTGGCGTACCCGTGTGTGAAGAGTCCCTTGAGTAGTGGATTCATCCCTTCGACCTGAATAGCGGCAATGTGTGCAGGCCGGCTGAGAGCGTCTGCTTTGTTCTTGTGACCGGGCTTGTACACGATGTCGTAGTGGAAGCGTGTCTCGAGGAAGTTGATCCACCGGACCTGCCGCCTGGAAAGGTTGGGTTGTGTCTTCAAGTATTTCAGGCTGCAGTGGTCAGTGTAGACGGTTGTTCTTCGTCCTTCGAGATAGCATCTCCACGCTTTGAAGGCGATGATGATAGCCAGGGCCTCCTTGTCGTGTATCGGGTAGTTTAGTTCTGCCCCGTGTAGTTTCATACTTAGGTAAGCGATTGGTTGCAGTCCATTCCCTTGATCTTGCATCAAGACTGCTCCCACTGCTTGGTCACTGGCGTCAACTTCGATGACGTAGTCGCGTTCGGGATCTGGCAAAATGAGTACCGGTGCGGACGTAAGTGCTTGCTTCAGCTGCTCCACGGCTTCCTGGTGCTTCGGCTCCCATTTGTAGGGCGTGTTCTTCTTCAGCAGATTCGTGAGTGGTGCTGCGATTTTCGCATACTGTGACACGAACCTGTTGTAGTAATTAGCGAAGCCTAGGAACTGCTGCAACTCCTTCACGTTCTCGGGTGTCTTCCACGTGCGTACGGCTTGTCGGTCAGCTCCGTAGGGCTGAGCCGATATGGTGCTCGGAAGGTCGGCTTCGAACCCGGTTCCTCCACGATCTCGTGTTGATGCGTTCGGTATGGCGGTAGCTCATTCGGAAGATCGTCCGGAAGAATGTCTTGGAACTCCTTCAATAATTCTTTGATCTTTCCTGGAGGTTCCGAGGTTCTTTCCCTGCCGTTCTCCGCCTCTGTTGCTATTGCCAGGAACCCTGTGTAGGTTCGCTTCACGTCCTTCTCAAATCGTGCGAGTGTCTCCACTGGGATATCTCCTGTATCGTCCCAGTTGGGTAGCTGTACTCTCCGTCCATTGTTGTAGATGCTTGCGGTGCGGTTCACCCAGTTGATCTCGGGGTTGAATCTTTTTAGGAAGTCTCGTCCGAAGATCAAGTCAAGCCCTTTGATGTTGGTGATGGGGAGTGCAGGTCTCCAACGCAGTTGTCCAATTTGTAGGTGTAGCACTGCTTCGCCGTGTACTGGTAACTTGCTGCCGTCCACCATCGTTGCAGAGAATCCTGAAGGCTTGTACTCTTCCCGAAGTCGGTCGATTACTGCCTTGTCACAGACGGTGTGTGATGCTCCGCTGTCCACGAGTGCTTGGAGGCGTCGTCCTTTGCAGATGACCTCGAGCACGAGGGGCAGTCGTTGCTCGGAGTACCCAAAGATAGTTTCATTGATTGGGTCATAGGGTACATCCCAATATTCCCTACACACCTTTGTGTTGCTATCTACCCTTGAGCTGGCAGGTGGCCGAGGCTGCTTGGAGAACGGCTCTTCTCCAGGGCCCAGAGTTTCCTTGACGACTGTGCGCGTCACTGATGCCGAAGAACTGGATGCATCCGGAGGAGGAGTTTGGGGTTTGTGCAACTTCTTATAGACCCCCAGCTTCCTCTTAAGCTGCTTCAGCTCCACCGACGTCTTCCCTGGGGAACGGGTAGTCGTTGTGGGCTGGTGTCGGGAGAGGACGTTGACTCCGTGGAAAGGTCGGCTTCTTTCCACACTCCTTAATTTTTTCCCCAAGTTGTCCGGTACCGGTATAATCTCCACAGCTGTCTGCTTCTTTTGGAGTCCTTCCCGAATTTTCTCCAAGGCTCTAGCCCTCGAACATCATAAGTTTTCATTAAAGCATCTTTATAAGATAACTTTAACGAATTCTTATAATTTCTTGGGTCTTCGAGGAGTTTCCCCGTCTCGGCAGAGTCTTTTTTCGCGGAGTCGTATTTTTCCTCCGCGATTTTCCCTAGCGAAGGCTGGTCGTGGGGTGGAGATTTTCCCTCATCATTTCCTCCTTATCGCGTTGAATCAGCTTCGTCGAAGTTGATTTTCCCGGAATCCCGTGGCCATTTTCGGATCTTTTTATTTTCGCCAGCTAGATCCGCAATCACTGGCGACTCCCGTTTTTTGGCTTCTGATTGGCTGAAGGAATTCCGCCACTGTTGCGTGCCCGATACTCTGCGCGTGCGGCTTTCATTTTGCTGCAGTCGAAGATTCGATGACCCGGCACCCCCGCAAAAATCACACGTGTAATTGGTGTTTTTCGGACGTGGCCGCCCCTCAAATCTGTCGACTTCCATCGGGTCGGCGAACGTGGTTTGAGCCGAGCGGTCGCCCTGTCGCGTACTGCCGACGTGCGTCCGTCGTGTTCCGGCGTTGACCATGTCGAAGCGCTCCGCTGCCGAAACGACGTCACTGTAGCTCGCGTAGTTTGACGCTGCTACCTGGCGTTTGACTTCGGTCTTCAGCCCGGCGAGGTACGATTGTACTTTTTCCCCTTCGGTCAGGTCGGGAATGCGGTTATAAAATTCCTCCATCTGCTGCGTGTACTGCGCTACACTCCCGAACTGTCGGTGTCGATGAATTTTTTCCCGGGCAAGGAAACTAGAATTTATCGGCTCGAAGCGTTTCAGCAGGTCGGCGCGGAACTGCTGCCACGTGGCTTCACCGTGGATGAAGGTACTGTTGCCGCCAATCCACTCGAGTGCCGGCCCTCGCATCAGTGTCGCCGCGAGTCGTACACGTTGACCGTCCCAGACTGGTGAGCTCCATCCGACGGCTGCGAAGTAGATCTCCATCCCGGCGATCCATCTGCGGGCGTCGGAGTTTCGATCGCTCGGATCGAACGGCTCAGGTGGGCGCGGTTTCGGAGCCTCGAGAAACTGTTGCGACTGCTGCGTCGTCGTCTCGTGCTGCGCTCCGGCGAGTCGAGTTACTCGCTCGAACTCGTTTCGCCACGCTTCGCGATCCGCTCGCATTTCCTCCTGAAGGGCTGCGATGCGCGCGAAGAGCTGCTGGGTAACCTCGGCGTTGTCGAAGGTTGCCATCCTGTTCAAAACATGCACGGAGGGGGTAATTCGAAAATCGCGGAGCTGGTGCTTACCAAAATCGGCGTCGAATTGGTCGCCCCCGACGGTTTTTCGAGGCATGTTTTCCCGCTGCTGTTGCTTTGTTGAGCGCGGCCGAGTGAGAAAAGCTTTGATTACCAAGTGTCACAGGATCGAATGTGTCGAGGAAAGATTGCACTATCGATCAGTACAAGGCGCTTTTATACTTCCAGAGTACATCAGGTACCCAGGTTTATCTTATCCTAGGGGAATAGACCCTTCTAGAAGATAGAATCACCCTGCGTATAGCCACGCGAGGCTATTGGCTTTAAGGGATTACAGCAGGATTACGCTAGATAGAGCGCACCAGTACATCCCAAGCCTGGTCGGTGATATAATTATAATAGCAGGATAAACCAAAGGTTAATGGAAATGGAGAATAGGAAATCACATGAGATGGAATAAAAGAGAAATGAAAAGAAAGGAAATAAGAAAATGCCAAGTGGTGTAACGGGGTCGTACTCTCACAGAGACTAGATCTGTTTCCGCCGAGCATTTTTTGCACGAGCTAGCAAAGTCGCTTAGACTTTTGCTAATGCTTGCCCCTTACCCCGTGAGCCTCTAGTAGGCACGCGGCCACTTGCTTCGTGTCACAGATAGAGGATCATGAGACTCTGTCGCCAGGGTCTGAGTTTCCGACTGATCGCACGTACGCTAGGAATAGGGAGAAGAATCATCCCAAAAAAATGCTATGAAGGCTAGTCACAGCAGTAGTCATCTAGCAGCTAGGCCAACAGTCGATTGCTTTCAGCATGACACGTGCGCACCTTCGTGCACATCATCATGTTAGGTGTCGCATTGACGGGCATCAAGGCTGTGTATCCACTGGAATCGTATAACGATGTTAAGGTCCACCCTCGTACTGCACGAAATGCTCTCAAGCTGCCTGAGTTAGTCGCCGTGCAGACACTGCGCAAGTCTCAACTATCAGCACGCAATGGCCGCGACCGTCGGTATTTTGCTAGAGCCCATTTGGACTGGACTCTGGACGACTTCAAGCGGGTGATCAGGTCGGACGAGATACGGATCGCTCGATATTGCTCGGAAAGCCGCACCCACGCATGGATTTGCGAAGGCACTGCTCTCCAAGGGCATCAGGTGAATTTGAATGTGAAGCATGAGGGTGGGTAAGTCATGGTTTGAGTATGTATGACGTATGATGTGCCTGGTTACATGTGCAAGATTGATGGTCACACGGGTGGCCAACTCTATCGCATCATATTGCAGGACAAGGTGGCTCAAGCTCTTGATTTTTATTATTTAACCATCTCTGGCATGACTTTCCAGTACATTGTACGACCCCAAACCCAAGTGCAGGATCGTTCAAGAGTGGCTAGCAGAGCAAGATTTCGCCGTCCTACAATGGCCCTCTTCCCCCCCTGACCCCAATCCCATCGAGCAAGTCACCAAGCATGAGCACCCCCTCACAGGCATGCTGCAAACTTGGGAGTAGGTGCACGAGACCTGGGATAGCATTGGGGCTGGCGTGTGTGAAGCTCTGTTAGACTGTATGCCTAGGAGGATCACAGCAAGAAATAGGGCCAAGGGGAGATGGACACGGTATTGATATTGATAATTTCAACTGTGGCTCATCCTGGGAACATTCTGTCCGAGTGTACCTCTTCTGATCTTGGTTGTTCTATGTTCTATTATGGTGTGTTTTTTGGACAACATGTTATTTGTCACACAAGCCTATAACAGTAGCAACTAGAACCTTAAAACCAGAAAACAAAAAACCTGCTCAGTTTCTCATGGGCTCTGATTTTGTCCACTTCATGACCAACATGTGGACAGAAAGTTCCGTCGCTGTAATAGCGGATCAGTGCGCCCATAGTCCCCCAGGCTCTGCATCTGTGGCCTTTCCCCAAGGATCTTCTCAAGGGTAACCCCAGCGGGTCACTCGACAATGGGTACTCACTGCTCTGTATGCATGAATCAGATGGATGGAAACATTTTTGAGGCGCCTCAAAAATAGACTCCTCACACATGATGGGCACTCACTGCTTAGTATGCATGAATCAGATGGATGGAAACATTTTTTAGGCGCCTAAAAAATAGACTCCTGACGCACGATGGGTACTTATTGCTTAGTATGCATGAATAAGATGGACGGAAACATTTTTGAGGCAACTAAAAAATAGACTCCTCACGCATGATGGGCACTCACGGCTCAGTATGCATGAATTAGATGGATGGAAATATTTTTTAGGCGCCTAAAAAATAGACTCCTCACGCATGATGGGCACTCACTGCTCAATATGCATGAATCAGATGGATGGAAACATTTTTTAGGTGAAAAAAAAAAAAAAAAAAACTAGAATAAGGCAAACATGGTGGTTTTGTCTACGGGATTGTACCCTCTAAGAGTATGCACCTATCTATTATATAATACATATACATAATATGTTTGACATACCCCCTACGCTAGATGAGGGGCAGTACCTGGCAAGAGACACACAGCTCAGGGTGGTACTACTAGTCCAAGCTCTGAGGTAGGGGTCCGAACACTCAGCAAATGTACAAACTAAACAAGAGCAGGCCAGGGCGGTACTACTAGTCCAGCAACTGGGGCAATAGCCACAAGGCCAGTCAAGATAATATAAAAGTAGTACACAATCAAGGTCCTAGCAAGTGAGAAGCTACATGAACTAGACCAAGCTGTACACAGTGCCGCTGATGATCTTTGGGCGCAAGCGCCTTCGTAAAGATATCATTTGTGTTGGCACCTGAGGCCAAGTGTACTACGGGGGCCAGGCGGCGCTGCTGTAGCTCGCGCAGGAGGAAGTACCGCAGCTGGATGTGCTTCGCTCTGCCCTCCAGTCGAGGCTCCTGACATAGGAGGATCATGGCCCTGTTGTCAGCGTACAGGACTGGGGCAAAGCTAGGCCGCTAACCTAAGTCTGTGAGCAAGAAAGTCAGCTAGCGCAGCTCCCGTGCCGCTATGGCACCAGCGTAAATCTCAGCCTCACAGCTAGACTGGGCAACAGACGACGAGCGGGTGGACCTCCACGAGACGGCACCTCCACCAAGGCTAAAGCAGTAGCCCTGGGAGGACCTGAGTGTCTCAGCGTCGTCTGCCCACGAAGCGTCTGTGTGCCCTGTAAGGACCACTAGCCTGTGTCCTCCTAGCACTAGCCTCATGCCCGATGTACTTGCTAGATAATGCAAAAACCTCTTAGCGGCCGCCCAGTGTTGTGGTCGGTGTCTGTCTATGGCCACAAAGCGAGCCAGGATGCTGAGAGGGTATGCGAGATCTGGACGAGTGCAACTCATCAGGTACATGAAGCAAACCACCACCTCTGCGTAAGGACCATTGGGCTCTAGTGACTCCTCAGGGACTGGAGCCAAGAGCATGCGATCTACTGACAGAGCTGTGGGCTATGCGGAGGAGAACTGGAGTTCGAACCTCTGAAAGACCTGTCGCACAAAGTGTGACTGTGTGAGAGTGATGGTGCGCGCTACTCTGTCCCTGGAGATTTGCACGCCAAGGTAACGGTGCAGCTCTCCTAGGTCATTGCAGGTGTGTGTACTCATCAGCTCGGCCTTCATGGAGGCCAGTGCGTCTCTGTCTGCAGTAGCAAAGACCAGGTCGTCTACGTAAACAAGGATGTACAACGGGGTCTGGCCAGGACAAACGAAGAGCGAGGGGTCCGCAGACGACGGGATGAACTGCAGGTCAGCTAATGTAGCACGAAGCGTGTCATGCCACTCGCACGACGCCTGCCGCAGGACGTAAACCTTGCGCCGGAGGAGCCACTGGGTCCCTGGGTCGAAGGTGCCGGTGAAGCCAGGTGGGTGACGCAGGTAGACCTGCTCGTGCAGACTGCCCTGAAGAAACGCTGTCGAGAAGTCGAAAGAGTGCAGCTCGTAGTTACGCTGTGCTGCTACGTGTAACAGCGCCCGAAGAGTAGTCATCTTCGGGGTAGGTGCGAAGGTCTGAAAGAAGTCAACACCCTCGCGCTGACTGAAGCCTCTAGCAATATAGCGCGCCTTGAACACCGGCGGCTCTCCAGGAGGGCGCTTCACATTGAAGAGCCACTGGCCATCGACTACGATCACCCCAAGTGGGGGAACAATGTCGACGTAGGTGCCGGTGGATCTCCAAGATGCCATCTCTGCGTCCATGGCAGCTATCCACTAAGAGGTCCAGAGTCCTGAGGTCACCTCCGCGTAAGTGCAAGGGGGCGGGATGTCAAAGGCGTCTGGGTCCCCCTCAGAGACTAGCAGCATGAAGTAGAGATGAGGCGCGGCCTCGGATAGGAAAGCAAGCTCATACTGCCGGTCCTCCAGGACGTTACTGCGAAGGGTAGGATCACCCCTAACGGACGAAGGATGGGCAGGGTCAGAGACCAGAGCGGTGGCGTAGTCAAGGCGACGGGTAGAGGCAAAGTCAGCGACGGCAGCGACAAGCGCGTCAAGACTTGAGACAGGAGCAGACGGGTCGGTAACGAGGGAGGCAAGGACGCGAGGAACAAGAGGACTAGCGGCACGAAGGAAGTGAAACAGGGGAGGCGGAGCGACAACAAGCAACGACGGAGGAGGCGACGGGAGGAGGGGAGGATGAGGCGCGTGGGAATGAAGCAACTTAGGGTGAGAGCACGAAACAGGGGAGACAAGACTAGCACAGGAGGGACGGCGAGACTAGACCTGAGACAGAGGCGTCGGACCAGGAGACAGAGGAGGAGACACAGGAGGGGAACGAGGGGGAAAACAAGCCGGAGACGAGTCCGGCGGAGGAAACACAGGGCTGTAGTCAGGCAAGGGAGGCAGCGGCGGGAGAGGCGCAGAGGGGCGGTCAGTGGAGGGAAGACCGATGAGGCAAAGGGCGGACACCGGCTGCAACTGCTGCTGCTGAGCCACAACGACACCAGAACCTCCAGCTGCACCATGGCTACCTCAGGAACACTCCACTCCAGCACCCCCAGAACGAGAACCCTCTCCTGCACCGGTGCCCACCCCAGGACCGGTGGGACGAGCCGCAACAAGAACCCCAGGACTAGCACCCCCAGAACAAGCACCCCTAGAACGAGAACCCTCTCCAGCACCGGTGCCATCCCCGAGACTGCCAAGACAAGCCACGACAGTATCCCCAGCATGAGCACCCTCCTCAATGCCAGCACCCCCAGAACGCACGGACCCCTGCGGCGGCAGCGGCCGTGGTGGCGGCGATGGTGGCGGTAGTGGTGACTGCAGCGGCGGAGGAGGAGACGCCGAGGCAGAGACAGGCGGCGAAAACGAAGCCGCGGGGCCCCCGGATTCAGCCGAATCCTCCACCGGGACCACCAACGGGAGGGGAGTGACTTGAGACTTACCAGACGGGGCAAGATGGGGAGGGAGAGGAGCAGGGGCTACCGGGGGAGTGGGAACCAGAAACAAGGGCGGGGAAACCGGGAGACCTCGGTGGGGAAAGCGGTGGTAGAAGGAGACAGACTTGTCAAAAGTGACGTTACGGGAGTGAAAGAAGCGGTGCGAAGGCGGGTGGTAAAAGTGCCATTCAGACGCGTCAAGGGGGAATCCAAGAAAGACACAGTGGACAGTGCGGGCCGTAAGCTTGTCCGTGCCAGAGGCCGTAAGCTTGTCCGTGTCGAGGGCTAGGCCCCAGATGTCCAGGTGCAGGGTTTGGAGTGGCTCAGTGGTAGGGGGAAGCGAGGAGTGAGGAGCACGGCGCAGTTGGCCCTCGACGCAAGGCGTGCACGGTGGCGAAAGCAAGGAAGGAAGGGCATGGAGCGACACAGGGAGACCAAAGATTCGACCGTGATGGGACATGTGACGCAGACGCGGGAGTGCGGAGTGACCTAGACGGTGGTGGCACAGAAGCAACGGGTGAGTGAGCGACCGACACGAGCAAGCCGCAGCGACCTGGGTCGCCGCAGGCACCTGGGGGAATGCCACTACAGGGGGGGACGCAGTGTCAAGCGTAAACAGGCCAGACACAGGGCTCCGGGGGAACGTGGTTAGAGGGGCACCAGTAACGGCCTCGGTACAGACAGCGTACCGCTCATGTGGGGGGAACGTAGTGGTGATGCCGATGTCCTGAAGACAACCGACACGTACTAGGTTCCGGGAGAACGAGGGGACGTGCAGGCCTTTAATTGAGTCCGAGGGGACCGCCGGACAGGGAAGGGTAGTGGAACTACGGGCAACTACCAGACCTGAGGAGGTGCAGCAAGTGCTACAGTGGCGGGAGCAGCAAGCGACATGAGCGTAGTGTGGCCGCGAAAGAAGCAGGCGAACGCACCAGAGTCAAGCGTAAAGGAGAGCGACGCAGTAGCGCCAGCCGGCGAAGGGACTAGCATGTAGCCTAGGCTAAACAAGGCAGGGGTCCTATGCCTAACGCAGCAGAGGAGCCTAGACTATACACAGAGGACACACCTATTCTAGGCAGCACCGGGTAATAGGGTCCAATCACACTAGAGTCATCAGTATGCATGACAGACATAGCAGTCCTTATCTGATCCATGTCAAGCTCAAAGACATGCACACGGTGGCGAGCCAGGGCGTACGAGTCAGGAGGGTCCGACGTGGGACCGAAGCGGTGACGGAAGAGACCATCCAGGCGGCAGTAGCAGCGGGCGGCGGTGTGGCCAGGACGGTCGCAGACGGTACCGCGGCGGGGGCCGGTCTAAAGCTGGTACTGACAGGTGACCGCACTGGTGCCGCCACCCGATACCGAGCTACGCCCCCCACTGCCACGACTACCACCACCAGTGCCGCCAGTCCACCATGGCGGGGGGGTCCTCACGGCGACTGCTGCTGCTGCTGCTGCTACTGCTGCTACTGAGGCTGCGCCTGTTGCTGCTGCTGCTTCGCGGCACCAGCCCTGGTCCCCTCGTCTGAACCATCGTCCTCGCCCCCACCTCCTCCACCCTCCCCACCCCCACCAGCCTTCCCTCCGCCACGCCCCCCCTTGGGGCGGCGACCTCTACCTGGACGCGGTTGCGCTGAGGCCGCAGCGGTGGTCTTAGCCATAGCGGCAGAGTCGTCAAAGTAAGTGCACTGTGAGGGAGCACAGCCCTGAAAGATAGGGACCGGCGCAGTACCGCTAAATCGAGCGATAGTGCGCTGACGGGTCTCTTTTGCGGACAGGGCGGTGACAAAGGCCGGAAGGGTGATGTCACCCGGGTGCTGACTAAGGAAGTGGTCGCGGGCAGTGGCTAGGCGGTCCGGAAGGCACGTGGCAATGAGGTAGAGGGTAGCGCAAAGCGGCAGCGGAAAGGGAGCGAGCTGAGCCTCAGTGCTAGCGGCGCGGTAGCTAGTCTCAACTACGCAGAGGTGAGTGGCAAGATCAGCAACAGTGGGGAAGGACGCAAGATCAGGGAACAGCATAGGGAGGGTCAAGCGGCCAGCAGAGGCTGAGGTGGGGGTGGAATAGTGCGCGATGACTGCCTCTAAGAATTCCTTGGCGTTCCCTACAGTGGTAAAGCGGGGACGCTCAGACAGGGGTAGCGCGTGACTAATAGCAAGCTGCGCAACGGCGTCGCACAACTCCCAGACAGCGCGAGCAAGCGCAGCAGCTGAAAAGGCCTCACGCTCAGCAGTGGTGGGGGCATCAGGGAGGGCAACAGGCGCAGGGGGGCGGGGAAGTAGGCCATTGATATGAACAGCCAGGGAGTGACCGTTCTGGGGCTGACCTGTAAGGTGACGGCGAAGGTCGACGAGCCACGCCTCGAAGTCGATCGCCCGACCCTCCGCGTCCTGGTGGAGCAGTGAGCCCGCCATCACCACGGCTGCAGCAGTTGACTGCCGCTGACAAGGGGAGGAGGAAGGGCGGAGGAAGGCGACGAAGTGCGATGGAGTGAGGTGGAGTGCGGTGGAGAGCGGTGGAGTATGGTGGAGTGCGGTGGAGTGCAGTGGAAAGCGGTGGAGTGCGATGGAGTGTGTTGGAGAGCGGTGGAGACTGCCGGCAGGAGTGCCGGCTCAGAAGGGAGCCAAGGCCGGGAGGTCGGGAGCGGCAGAGCGACGCGGCGGCGCAGCGGCACAAGTGTTATGAATGGGACTGCCGAGTAGCGCGGAGGGCAATGGCGAAACTGTGAACGAGTGAATGACAATAAAATGAAAGACAATACAATATATAGAAAGCCTAGGGTGATCCTTGACGTAGGATCGGAAGGTTCGGGAAAAGTGTCGAAGGGCCTCAATGTGTCGTAGCGAGGTCCGAAAAGGCCCAGGAGGCTCGAACTGAAAGGTCTGGAACCCTATCGCTGGTTCGGGACTGTTCGAGTCGTACGCCCTGTAGCAAGCCTCAGTAAGGAATTCCTAATTCCTTACAGCATGTATCTGACTGTAACGTATGTATCTGCCTGTAACACATGTATCTGCCTGTTACGAGTGTATCTGCCTGTTACGCATGTATCTGCCTGTAACACGTGCCCATGCTGTTTCATCTGCCTCACCCCTGCCTTTCTGTTGCTGTGATGCTAATGGAGACCACTGCAGCTCGACCTGCCTTCTTTCACAATACACTGGCCCCCATTGCAAGCACATGTGTATGCATGTGCCTGTAGTGCATGCATGTGCCTGTAGAGCATACTTATGCTTGTAACCCGCGCCCGTGCTGTTTCATCTGCCTCACTCCTGCCTTTCTGTTGCTGCTGCCACCCCCACCACCGCCAGCACCGCTGCTGTTGCTGCTGCCACCCCCACCACCGCCAACACCGCTGTTGTTGCTGCTGCCACCGCCACCACCGCCAGCACCGCTGCTGTTGCTGCTGCCACCCCCACCACCGCCAGCACCGCTGCTGTTGCTGCTGCCAACCCCACCACCGCCAACACCGATGTTGTTCCTGCTGCCACCCCCACCACCGCCAGCACCGCTGCTGTCGCTGCTGCCACCCCCACCACCATCACTGCTGCTGCTGCTGCTGCGCCACACACTTGCTCTCCACTGCCTTCACAGGGATACCGATCTGCCAGTGCCGCTGCTGCAGATACTGCCAGTGCTAGTGCTGCAGCTGCTGCCAGTGCTGCTGCTGCAGCTGCTGCCACTACTGCTGCGGCTGCTGCCAGTACTGCTGCAGCTGCTGCCAGTACTGCTGCGGCTGCTGCCAGTACTGCTGCGGCTGCTGCCCCCACCACCACTGCTCACACAGCTGACGGCACAGACTCCTCTCGGGTGTCATGGAGGGCGGCGGACTAAGAATGCTGAACACTTCAAGATTCCAGAACCAGCAATACCTTTCGAGTTAGGGCTTGAGAGAGGGGGGAGGCAGAGGTGGTGACGCATGCTCAGATTCGTTGAATCAGGTCACGAAACAGCAGCGGTGGTGACACAGGCCCAGGGTCATTGAACCTAGTCACGCAGAAGCCGCAGCAGCAGCGGGGGTGATGCAGGCCCAGGTTCATTGAAGCTAGTCAAGCAGCAGCACCAGGTTCGTCGAATCCAATCACGCAGCAACAGGTTCACACAGCAGCAGGTTTCACGCAGTGGTGGTGACGCAGGTTCGTTGAACCGGGTCGTAATTCTGCTGGACGAGAAATTTGGACCCGTCCACCCCTTCCAGATTGTAGGCTGCGCCATCAGCCGTGAAGGACAGATCTCCAGTCCTGCGAGGTGTATGGGGGCAGACAGGATGGCGGGAAGGGAGAGGGCGGTTTTATACTTTGGGAAACCCACTAGGACCCTTTCACCCCTTGCCTTCCAGGTTGTAGGCTGCACCATCAGCAGCGAAGGGCAGGTCTCCAGTCCTGCGATAATTGCCGGAGGGGTGAGAGGTGCGAGATGAGGACAAAAAGTGAAAGACCTTTGGATGAGATCCGTTCACCCTTCTGGATTGTAAGTTGGACACTGGAGGTCTAGGAGAGTTCTCCAGTCCTGCGATAATTACCGGAGAGGTGAGAGGTGAGGACAAAGGGTGGAAGACCTTTGGATGAGACCCGTTCGCCCTTCTCGATTGAAGGCTGCCTGTGGCATTGGATGTGAAGGAGAGCTCTCCTGCCCTGACATGTTGTGACGACAAAGAGAGAGTGGAAGACACATGGGTGTACTACATGACATGATTCCCTTTCATTTATGCCTTGAGTGCAAGTGCGGGGCGATAAGGCCTCTGCAATCCTACTACCCTCCCGCTGCCGCCACCCTAAGCCCTTCCCCTTCCTGCTGTCTCACCTCTAGGAACATATGTCCACGTTTTCTCGTCCCAGGCCGTCGTACCAACTGCTGATGTAGGGGTCGCTGGTCGCCTCTGCAAACCCAATAACCCCCAACTCCCCCCTCGCGCCTCCCCCCATTGCATACCTCCAAGCACATATTTCGGCGTCTTCCCGGCCCAGGCCTTCGATCGAGTCAAACCAGCTGCTGATGTACGGGTCGCAGGTGGCCTCTGCCAGCTCGTGGGCAAAATAACACCGACACACGCGTGCACAGTCAACAACCTCCACATTCAAGCAGCAGTGGACTTTCCCCTGAGCTCGTCCCTTCCTCAACTCCAAGCACATATGTCAAGCCCCCGCCCTGAGCACGACGTTTTCTCGTCTCAGGCTGTCAAACCAACTGCTTTTGAGTCGACTCAAAAGCATATGTCGGCGTTTTCTCGTCTCAGGCTGTCAAACCAACAGCTGATGTAGGGGTCGCTGGTGGCCTCTGCACTCCCACTACCCACCTGCCATCCTGGACGCCCTTCGCCTCCCCATTGCTCACCTCCAGGCACATATGTCGGCATTTTCTCGTCCCAGGCTGTCGAACCAGGTGCTGATGTAGGGGTCGCTGGTGGCCTCTGCGAGCTCGTGCGCGAAGGTGCTGACGAGGGAGTCGAAGCTGCTGTCCTTGTTGGGGCTGGGATTGAATGCGAAGGCCGACAGCCAACAGCTGCTGGGGCACTGTTAACGGAGGGAACAATGGGGGGGAAGAATGGTGGGTGAGGGTGGGGTGATTCAGCCAGCTCGTGGGCGAAGGTGCTGACCAGGGAGTCAAAGCTGCTGTCTGTCGTTGTTGGGGCTGGGTTTGAAGGTAAAGGCGGACAGCCAGCAGCTGCTGGGGCACTGGAGGGTGAGGACGGGGGGGAAAAGAGGGGATGGGTGAGGAAACAGGGTAGCTGGCTCGTGGGCGAAGGTGTGGGTGCACTGGCGCACCCAGGTTCTGGCGCAATGGCAGGTGTGGGTAACTTGGGGTTTCCACAAAAAAAAAAAAAAAAAAAAAAAATATATATATATATATATATATATATATATATATATATTGCAAGCCTGAGGCAACACACTCACCTTGTCCGGGCTGCCCACATAAGAAACCTTGATGAGCTTCTTGCGAATCTTGACAAAGTCATGCCAGCCGCAGTAGGCGCTGCACATGGCTCCGCTGCTGTCCCTCTGGTGGCAAAGAAGGGGGAAGGGGTAGGAACATGCAGGAATTTGAGAAGGGGATAGATGCGCGCGCAGTGCACAGAGAAACAAAGTCGTGCCAGCCGCAGCAGGCGCTGCACTTGGCTCCGCTGGTGTCCCTCTGGTGGGAGGAGGGGGGGGGGAGGGGGAGGAGGAACACGAAGGGACTTGAGAAGGGGATAGATACGCATGCAGTGAATTTAACTGACATGGGGACATGCATGCAGTGAATTTAACTGACATGGGGACATGCATGCAGTGAATTTAACTGACATGGGGACATGCATGCAGTGAATTTAACTGACATGGGGACATGCATGCAGTGCACAGAGAGACAAAGTCATGGCAGCCACAGTAGGCGCTGCGCGTGCCTCCTCCTCCCAGTAAGCGCCTACAGAAGAGGAGGAGCCTTCTCTGAACATGCCTCCTCCTCCCAGTAAGTGCCTACAGCAGAGGAGGAGCTTTCTCTGCACATGGCTCCTCCCCTACTGTACATCTGCTTGACAGTGGAGTGGCTACAGCAGAGGAGCAGCCTTCTCTGGCTGCACATGCCTCCTCCTCAGCAAGCACCTACAGCGGAGGAGGAGCCTTCTCTGCTCATGGCTCCTCCCTCCGCTGATGTCCCTCTCCTTGGCACAAGAGGGAGGTGGGAGAGGCGAGGTGAGAGTGGGGAGGTACATGGGTGTTACAAGAATGGGGAGGAGACAGAAAAAAAAGAAAAAAAGAAAAAAAGGCATGCAGCCACGCCCCCATCACCAGCCACAATACACTGCACTCTCATTGATCGAGGGGCAAACGCCCCGCCCTGCACCCTCTTGTTAATCGTTTATCACTATGGCACTGGTTGCCTGAGAGGACTGAGGCGCCTCACAGACACACATGCACACACCTGAGAAACGCTCTTGTCGCCCATCACAAAGTAGACCGCATTATTGTCAACAAGGTGACTTTTGAGTCGACTCAATAGACCGCATTATTGTCAACAGGGGGAAACGCAGGAAACGCCCTGGCCTTGATCCTCCTGTTGACGCACACCATATCAACCACTGCCCCCCACCGCACCACCTAGCACCTGTTATTTACCCACCTGAGCCACGCTCTTGTCGCCCATCACAAAGTAGATCGCATTCTCATCCAGGCCAATGGCACCTCCTCCCTGCACCCTCTTGTTGACCACTCGCCCTATAATGACGAAACCGCCGACCAGCCAGAGCCAGAACACACCTGAGCCACGCTCTCTTGTTGCTGACGCCGATCACAAAGTACACTGCACTCTCGTCAAGGCCAAACGCCCTGGCCTTGATCCTCTTTTTTGAGACACACCGCATCAACCACCTCACCGCACCGCACCACCCAGCACCTCTTATTTACCCACCTGAGCCACGCTCTTGTTGCCCATCACAAAGTAGACGGCACTCTCGTCAAGGGAAAACGCCCTGGCCTTGATCCTCCTGTTGACACACACCGCAACAACCACCGCACCGCACCACACAACCCAGCACCTCTTATTTACCCACCTGAGCCACGCTCTTGTCGCCCATCACAAAGTAGACCGCATTCTCATCCAGCGGAAACGCCCTGGACTTGATCCTCTTTTTGACCACTCGCTTGATCGACCCAAGCCCCCACAGCAGCTTGTATGGGCGCTGCACGTGGTGCTCCCCGGCAAGAATGACAGTACTCGACACGTAGCGGCCCGAGCAGTCATAGTAAAGGGTGTTGGTGCGCCACCAGGCAGACACTGGAGTGAAAGGGATGTGGGGAGAGAGGAAGGCGGAGGGGAGGCTTGAGCCCCCACAGCAGCTTGTATGGGCGCTGCACGTGGTGCTCCCTGAACAGAATGACAGTACTCGACACATAGCGGCCCGAGCAGTCATAGTAAAGGGTGTTGGTGCGCCACCAGGCAGACACTGGAGTGAGAGAAGGGGAAGAAAGGGGGTGGGGAGAGATGAAGGGGGAGGGGAGGCTTGAGCCCCCACAGCAGCTTGTATGGGAGCTGCACGTGGTGCTCCCTGGACAGAATGACAGTAATCGACACATAGCGGCCCGAGCAGTCATAGTAAAGGGTGTTGATGCGCCACCAGGCAGAGACTGGAGCCACAGAGAGGGAGGAGGGGTTGTAGGGGTGGGAAAAGGTTGGGCGGTTGAGGGGGTTGAGGGGTTGAGGGGGTTAAGGGGGTTGAGGGGGTGAAGGGTGTTGGTGCGCCACCAGGTGACGACTGGCCCATAGGGAAGGGGAGAGCGAGGAGAAGTTGTAGGGGATGTGGGGGTGGGGAAATAGGGGCTTAAGAGTGATGGAAGTGGGCACGTAGTGCCTGATCGAACATAGTAAAGGGTGCTGGTGCGCCACCAGGCAGAGACTGGAGGCGGAAGGGGAGGGGGAGGGGAGAGGAGGGTTAGCATGAGGGTGGGGAGAGTAGGGACGGAGTGATAGAAGTGAAGACATGGTGGCAGCAGCAGCCGTAGTAGAGGGCGGTGGTGCGCCGCCAGGAGGAGACTGTACTCAGGGTGATGATGAAGATTCACCCGTGCCTTCAGTGAAGACTCAACGGTGCCTTCAGTGAAGACTCACCCGTGCCTTCAGCGAAGACTCACCCGTGCCTTCAGTGAAGACTCAACGGTGCCTTCAGTGAAGACTCACCCGTGCCTTCAGTGAAGACTCACCCGTGCCTTCAGCGAAGACTCACCCATGCCTTCAGTGAAGACTCAACGGTGCCTTCAGTGAAGACTCACCCGTGCCTTCAGTGAAGACTCACCCGTGCCTTTAGTGAAGACTCACCCGTGCCTTCAGTGAAGACTCACCCGTGCCTTCAGTGCTGCTGAGGGAGCGGATGAACGTTCGAAGAACATTCTTCTGGGACTCAGTGAAGCGGCTGTACCACACGAGGTACACTCGGATTGGGCTGTGCATTACCCCACACCAATTGGAGTTCTTTACGCAAATACCCTTCCCGCATTGGGAGACTATCTCGGGGCCCAGGTCGGATGGGATGACTGGTGACTGGCTGGAAAATGGAGGGTGGAAGGAGCAGGGTGGGAGGTAAAGCAAGGGCACAACCTTTAATCATTGGGTAAAACACTCTGCCAGCATTGGGAGACTATCTCCGGGTCCGGGCCCATCTCTGATGGGATGACTGGTGACTGGCTGTCAATTGTTGTTCGTTGGAGGGCGGGGGATGGGGAGATAACAGGGAGAGCAGAACCTTTAATTGTTGGTTAAAAAAACCGGCCACGGGCGAAACGAATATTTCTCACCTGGCAGGGAGGGAGCAGTGGGTGCAACGTTGTTTCTTAGGCGCCTTAAAACGGGATGGAGAGACGGATTAAAGGAAAAAGAGGGAGGGAGGGAGGGAGGGAGGGATGGATAGAAGGAGGGAGGGAGGGAGGGAGGGAGGGAGGGAGGGAGGGAGGGAGGGAAGAAAAGGGCATGGCGCACCTGGCAGCGAGCGCGGGCACAGTGGGTGCGATGTTGTTTGGCTTGAAGCGCGTTGGCCCAACAACCTGGGGTTGTCTCAGACTCTGGAGGCTTCTCGAGTCTTGAAGCTGTCTCATCTGCCTGTGCTGCTGTCCCAAGGAATCAGATTGTCTGACGCCAATGGAAGGGTTGAGACTGACGTTGCTGCTGCTGCGTCTGCGTACATTGCACTTGGACTTTCTCAAACTCTGGAGCTGTCTCATCTCCCTGTGCTGCTGTCCCAAGAAATCAGAGTGTCTCAGCCCAATGGAAGGGTCGAGACTGACGTTGCTGCTGCTGCGTACATTGCTCTTAGCTGCAGACGGCAGAACCAGGAGAAGGAGAAGCTGGCGTGCGGAGCCCGGGGGGGGGGCGGGAGAGGGGGGGGGGAATGGGGGGAATGGGGGGAAGGGGGGGAAGGGGGGAAGGGGGGGAAGGGGGGGAAGGGGGGGAAGGGGGGGAAGGGGGGAAGGGGGAGAAGGGGGGGAAGGGGGGAAGGGGGGAAGGGGGGAAGGGGGGGAAGGGGGGGAAGGGGGGAAGGGGGGGAAGGGGGGGAAGGGGGGAAGGGGGGGAAGGGGGGGAAGGGGGGGAAGGGGGGAAGGGGGGGAAGGGGGGGAAGGGGGGAAGGGGGGAAGGGGGGGAAGGGGGGGAAGGGGGGGAAGGGGGGGAAGGGGGGTAAGGGGGGAAGGGGGGGAAGGGGGTAAGGGGGGTAAGGGGGGGAAGGGGGGGAAGGGTGTTAAAAGAACTGAGGTTGCCATTGGAAGGGTCGAAGCGGCTGCTGCTGCCTACATTGCACTCGGACGCAGATGACCGAATGAGGAGAAGGAGAAGCTGGCGGGAGGAACCAGGGGGGGGGGGGGGTGGGTGAGGGGGGAGGGAGAAGGGAAGGAGGGAGGGGGTTGGTAGAGAGGGGAGGGTGTGGGGGGGGAAGGAGGGGGGGAAGGAGGGGGGGAGGGGAAGGGTGTTAGAAAGAAGCGAGCATAGGTGAGAACGGAAAGTTGTGTGGGTAGAATAAAACTATTCACCCCAAATTAAATTGGCAAAGCTTTTTCAAATGTCGTTGGACGGTTAGTGTACGTGACAGCGCACACTGTTTCTGAAAATATAATAAGCCAGCTATACCGACGCCCGAAGTGGTACACTGACTGGAAACAGTTATCAAATCGAAAGGGACGCATGAAAGAAGAATGCATTCAGTCCGTACGTACACACAGCGCTGTGAGGCGAGATTCCCGCCATGAATCTCGACCGAAGCACACTCCGAGTCTCCACCCTCGCCGCTGGGATAAGGGACCTTCGACGAGCAATTGAGCGGGAAATTGCTGGAACTGCTGAGCCATGGATCGAAGTGAAACCGTAATAGCCAGAACGTGATGGGTATGAAAACTACGTCCAGGTCAATTGCTGGGAATTACTGGCGAGTCGCAACGCGATGCAAGTTGGAGAAACGATGATCAGCAACAGTTAGTCTAGAGACTTAGCAGCGACAGCAACAGCTACTAGTAGTAGTAGCAGTAACAGTCTTGGTCTAGAAGAGGCTTGGTGGCAACAGCAACAGCGTCTGGGTTAGTGGAAGCTTGGTCGACGGTCTTGGTAGCAGCAGCAGCAGCTGCTAGCTGTAGCTTGCCAGCAGAGCAGAACCTAGGGTAGATGCAGCACAAACAAAAACACCTGCTCACCGCTGTTCACTTTGTATCAAGACCCAGGACCATCTGACGTTCGATGAGTGCGTTGCGTTTCAAAACAGTTCAATAAATTTCCAGAACGGTTGTGATGCCAGGGTACATGCCCTTCGGAGCCAACCGAAATCGACCGTACTGAACTGGAATTCACCTTCAGTGCTTTCGACCCTACCGTATCAAAATCGAATGGCAGTTTACTGGAGCCAAAGCTTGTACAGTACAGTAGAAGGCAAGGACGGAAATGTGACGTTCTGGAGGTTTTTTACACGGTATTGTGTATTTCAGTAAATTGCGATGGCATGCAGTGCGGTGGAGGTTTGAGCATGCACAAATCTAGCGAAGTGTACCCTGGCGAAGTTACAGCTCGCCGTGCGGGGAAGGGATGCGCCTTCTGCTGCCGCCCTCACTGACTGAGGAGGTGGCGACGACGCCAAGCGAAGTTGCGCGAAAATGTTTTCGCCAGGCGATTGGGGAACTTGCAAGGTTGTGTGCAGGGCATCTGCCCCGCATGGCAAGCGACACCCCTGACCTGGGTCATGGATCTGGACGGGGAAAAGGGTTTACAGTACACCACATTTCGTCTTACTTCGTCTCAGCACTCTCCCTTTCGCAAACGATCGCCAACCTCTTCGCGAGTAAGAGTAACTTGATGATTTTTTTACGAGGTAAGGGGACCAGTCTCTCGGACCAACCGTCACCGCTATGGTTGCGCCTCAATATTGTCGAGGCGCCCGTAAGCGGCGGTTGCTCAATGCCCGACCGCCGGTAGCGTCGCTTCGCGTCTCGTCGAGGGAAGTCCATGGAAATACCGTTGAAAGATAAGCTATCGCCGCGCGTATCAGAGGCACGCGGATAGGGCGCCTGATAGCCCGGGTCGACCAACAGGACGGTTATCGTAACTGCTTGAGAAGGCCTGCAAGGATACGACGGCCGACTACGTTTACTTATCCCATGCTCATCCTCCTTCCTAACATTATACGGTAAGTTTACCCACCCGACCGATCAGCTCTCACTGAAAGTGTTCAGCTTCTCGTCGCATCAGTTCGAGCAGGCGCCATGATTCAGCCCAGTACGAGCAATCTCTGCTTTAGCAAGCGGTGCCTTTCTAAGCTCTGCTATAGCAAGCACTCTACGCCAGCGCGCACAAGGCTGTCTAAACCTCACCGTCTCATGCTCTTGCTGCTGCTTTCTGGTCTTATCTTCATCTCCGCGGCCTGGGCTGTGAGATACATCGGCATGCCTTATGAAACCTTGCCTCACAGGCGACAGCTGCTCCTGTTGCGGCTGATCGCTAAGAGGTCAGAGTTGGTAACTCGGTTACTAACCACGTACGGCAAGCCCGGCTTGGAAACGGTAACGCCTGTTCAGAAGCCACCTTCGCCTGATTCTTTCACAGAAGAGAGTACCTCTGGAGGTAACTCATCGACTTCACAATCGTACAGGGAAACAGACCGGCTGCATATGCGTCGCCACGTCAGACCGGACTACTACCTCGAGCGCGTCACGCCCAAAGATCCGCCACGTGTCAGCACGAGCAGTACTAACACTGAAGTCTGCGTGGCAATCGCTTCGATGCCACGCGTCTTCCCAGAAAAGCGCAAGCTTCCGCCGTGGCACTTCCCCGTGTCCCTCCTCCGCCTGCTGGAGCAACGACGGTCTCCGCCCGACCGCTCAGACGGCTTTAAAGACATGCGCGTCGTCGTCTACAGCTCCGGGTGCAGCGGGGAGCCAGAACCAGGGGGCGTTGCGAAACCAGCACGCATTGCGAAACCAGCACGCGTTGCGAAACCAGCACGTTTTGCGGATCCAGCACGCGCGACACCAGAAGCGTCAGACAATGGCCAGTCTACGTATACGAGAAATGTTACGCAGGGATTGGACCAGCAGCCCGCACCAGCTCCTCCTGGAGATGTGGAAACGGGAAACCAGCTCCTCTTGAATAAAGGGATGGTTGGAGCGAAGCATCAGCAGGCCCTAGAGTTGGCTGCACGAAACTCTTCGCTAAAAATCGACGTGTTACCACCTCGCCGAGATGTCTGCGACTTCGTTCGTCAGGGCGAGGAAGCCCTGCGAAACCTCGGTATTACAGGCGTACCCACCAACCGCTGGAAGGCTTGGCGATGGCGAACGAAACTGGTGATGGATTTCGTCTACGTCATGCGACAGTGCATGGCGACAGGACCAAAATACATCCTGCTGCTCCAAGACGACACAAAACCAGCCCGGCTGTACGATATCGGTATCGAGAGATTCATTAACGATGATCTCAAGGGTAAAGAGTGGACCGTCCTATCGCTTTACTACCCGCAATCGTACCTCTGGCCATACCGACATGGAGGGGAATATTTCATTCCCTGCTGCGCTCAGGCTCTGCTTTTCAACGTAACATCGTTGGAAGATCTGCTAGGGTTTGTGGAGCAGCATTTCACGGAAGCTCCTATGGATTGGATCCTAAGTCTATACCTCACTAGTTCTAACCAGACGGGATTTGTCCACGTGCCTTCATTATTTCAACACGTCGGTGATGTAAGGACCAAAGCGCCAGGAGTGGTCTCGTCCACGCATCGGGACTGGAACTTCCGCGACGACTACGTAGTTAATCTACCAAGGGGAGCTGGATCTACTAGGGACGAAAATGTGGATATCGGGGAAGGCAGTGCCGAGCTGGAGCTTCGGAGACAGCCCCTCAGAGCATACCCAGTTGAAGCATTTTCCGATACAGGTCTATAAGACTTCAATATAATCACATCGATGTTCGAGCTCACAAGTTCTTCGATGTTATCTCATCTCTTGTCGCTTCGCGAGTGGGACGTGTTTCCCTGCAAGATTGCGACAAAATCCTTCCTGAAAAGAAAGCACGGGAAAGTTAGAAATTTTCGCCTGGCGACGATCAGTAGGAACTTTCAGGTGGAGATTTGGGCAAATGGGAGGCTTGCCAGGCGGGAAACTTTGGCAGATCGGCAAGAATGTCAGAAAAGGTGAGCCCGTGCGCCTGCTCACCTGCACATAGCTGCCCCCAACCTTTCCATATCCACCACACATGCACCAAGATTCAGGTTCCGCTTGTCGGGATCAGGTGAAGCCAGTTTGGACTCTGGGAAACCATCGTTGACAGCAATTTCGCCAAAGCCGTCGCCACACTTTCGTCACGGGCCCACCAAACGACCTCTTCCTTCGCATGCGTGCTGAGTAACAAGACAATTTCTCAACAGAACCATCGCAAAAAAACAAGGAAATCCTGTCCGACGTTTCTGTTGAGAACTGGTCTCCAGGGTCCACTCACTTGCGCTGGAGTTAGTGGCAGCGAGGCGAAGGGGGCACCCAGGCACAGACATTTCGTCCATCAGTTGCCCATCCCATCCAACCGTTGAGCACCGCACATCACACTGTGGAGACAAAGGGAAAATAACATCCAGACGTGACGCAAGCAACCATCACGATTCACAACTCAGGACGGAAAATCCTACCGTACTGGAAATATCTGCAACTCCCAGAAACTGGAGAAAACTACAGCGAAACGAGCTGCACCGAAAACAAAACCCGAGCAATCTGCCACTTGGCGCCCTAGGGCGTGTCCCCTCCCACGCCGCAATTACAGTACAGTACACTTGTCCTCCGCCAATTTCACTGGCGGCAACTTCTCAGGTTTTGTCGCATACTCTGACCAGCTGCCAGATGCTGCTAAAAATTTATGGGGAAAGTTCAGCTCAGTTCCCCATGTCAGCTACCAGCAGCGCAGCATCGCAGATCGCAGCCGTTGGTGAGAGCTAGACTCCTCGCAACTCGAAAGGATGTGCTTGCGTGAGCAAACACGTGGTGCATTGTGATGAGTTGATGAGGCTACACTTGTTACAACCGTAAGATTTCTCGATCCTGCTGAGTGACCCGGATTTTCTGTAGGCACCCAGTCAGCAGGACGGTCAACATGGTTCCCTTTTGAGAAGTTAGCGCCAACACGCTGGTTGGCGCTAACTTCTCACCCTCCCACTAACGACAAGCTACAGTTCCAATAACAACATGGTACAGTATAACGACAAATTATCGGAGTACAGGTGTAGAAGGCAGGAATGGGAGGGATGGGGGATGTGAGGGAAGGGCGATCATATGCCAGAGAACCAACAGCGCTGCAGCATGGACTCCAATCCAAAGCTGCTGCAGATCATGTCATGCACGAATGGCGAGGAGTGGCTCTCGCCATACCGTCAGGGAATGATATGGGGAGTGACAGTTGCGCGATAAGCTTTCGGTTCTGTGAAGTGCTCACTTCCGTACGGTTCTGTGAAGTGCTCTACGGTTGGGGGCGATCCATTCGCACTCTGGAACGCGTGGGGGACGGAAACCGATCCCTTATCAAGGATGGCCATTATTCCCCCGACAGGGGGAGCGGACACTGGCGGTACAGTAGGCGGGCTAAGCCCATTGCTTATCGTTTCCCAGGTGATATGCTCGTCGAGAGTCGCTCATTCTCCCACTCTGAATTGCCATTTCTCACCATCCTAGAGCAGCTGTGATTGCCAATTGTCAAGAACGCTCCGATTCAGCTTGTGTTAGCAGCTGTTGCCAGCAGATCACCTGTAGTTCACCGCTATGACCATGGTCCAGCCAAACAAGCTCTGCTTCACCAGGTGTGACGCCACGTGGCACGCCCCTGAGGCTGTCTAGACCGTTGCGTCTCGCCGTCGTGCTGCTCTTACTTGGCCTCGTCTTAATCTCCGCGCCTTGGCATACCCAACATTTCGGCTCTGAGTCGCCTCTCGCCTCGCCTCTCGAAGCCTTGCCTCTTAGACACAGACGACAGCTGCTGCTATCGTCGCCGGAACTCACCACTTCAACGTCAACGTCAACGTCAGCGTCAGTTGCTCAGTATGGATCCGTCGCCGGCAAAGCCTTACAAGATTCGTTAGTTTCTTCTCAAGAACCGTCGCAGATTCGTTCAAGCTCGGCCCGAGGAAGCGATACATCTGGAGCTGGTAACTCGTTTTCGCCAGCACACACGGACGCACGCCCGCTGCGCATGCGTCACCACGTCCGGCCGGATTACTTTGCGCCAAGGTGTCGCACTTTCGGATGTGCCACGTCGCAGCAACGAAAGACAACGATGTCTTCATGCGGAGGGCGGGGGAAGCAGCAAGGGGACTCAAACTGTTACTAGCAGTGATGTCTGCGTGGCGATAGCTTCAATGCCACGTGTCTTTCCAAAAGCACGGAAGCTGCCACCATGGCACTCACCCGTGTTCCTCCTCAGAATGCTGGAGCAGCGGCGATCCCCGCCTGACAGCGCAGACGGCTTTAAAGACATGCGCGTCGTCGTCTACAGCTCCGGCTGCAACGGGAAACCGCCACGCCGTGCCGCGACGCCAGCAGGAAATAGTAGCAGTGCCAGCTCTACTAAGGAGGAGAAGGTAGAACCCGTTTCCCGTGAGGAATTAGAAGAGCGTAAGAAGACTCTGGCGACAGGGATTCATCAGCGAGCTTTGAACTTGGCCGCCAGACGATCGTCGCTGGATATAACCGTGTTACCACCTCGCCAAGATTCGTGCGAGTTCGTTCAGCAGGACGAGGAGAGCGTGCGAAAACTCGGTGTTACAGACGAGATGGCAAGCGACGGCTGGGAGGCTTGGCGATGGCGAACGAAACTGGTAATGGATTTCGTATACGTCATGCGACAGTGCATGGCGACAAGACCGAAATACATCCTGCTCCTCCAAGACGACACTATGCCAGCACGGCTTTACGATATCGGTATCGAGAGATTCATTAACGATGATCTGAAGGGGAAAGAGTGGCCCTACTTATCGCTTTACTACCCTGAATCGTACTTTGGGCCATTCCCGCACGGCGGGGAATACCTAGTTCCGTGCTGCGCTCAGGCTCTGCTTTTCAACGCATCGGCGGTGGAAGGCTTGCTAGGGTTTGTGGAAGAGCGTTTTCTGGAGGCTCCTATGGATTGGCTCCTAAACCAATACCTCGTTCGGTCTAATCGGACGGGATATGTCCACGTGCCGTCGCTGTTTCAACACGTCGGTGAAGTGAGGACTAAAGCGCCGGGGGTGGTTTCCTCTACGCATATAGACAGAAAGTTTGATGAAGACTACGTGGTGGGAGCCGCGGGATCAACTGGTGGTGATGACGACAGTTGAGATAATAATGGGGAAAGCAGTTCGCAATTGTAACCGTGGCTGGTACTGTACTCGGAACATGCCCGATTAAGAGAAGTGTCTGCTGATCGTGAATGCATTTACCCAAATACTAAGCTTCTGCCGGGAGATACCAGCACTGGAGAGCTTGCTAGGGTTTGCTAGAGAATTTGCAGAAGCTCTTATAAATTGCTCCTTGGTCCGTACCTCACTAGATTAAACCACAGGCTACGCCACGTGCCGGCATTATTTCTACGCGCCGGTGACGTAACGACCAACGCGCCAGAGTGATCTCGTATACGCACCAGGACGTAGTTAATCTACTGGCGGAAGCTGGGTCAACTAGCTAACATGGGGAAACCAGTGCGGGGAGGGAGATTCAACCGCAATCTCAGGGAAACCTCGACAGGAGCGAGTTTCGTTACAACTTGACGCTACCATAAATCGAACTTGGGATATTCACGCCTAGATATGATGGTCCAACTAGGAAAATGTGTGGGGTGTTTGATACAGTCGATGCTCATCCAATCTCGTACGCAGCGCCTATTCCAATCAGAATCACTTCCCAAAACCTCAGATTTAGGGGCAATGGGATAACGCACACAATCACATCTACACCGCACAGCTACCGAACCACCTTACGTTGATGGAGGGCGGAACGAAATGACCACACAATTGCCCGTTGGGACCTCTATTTATGGACCAGACACAAATATATTGTTACAAATTCCACGTTTCTGTCCCATTTGCCGTGGCGAACCATGCGAAACGACGACCTTGACATTGCCTCCGCGATTCGGGAAGTTTGTCTGACTCTCTCGCTCCTCGACTGTGCTTTCCGCCTCAGGAGCCGAACCTCCTTTTATTGTACTGAAGATACGGAAAGCCTCTCCCATAGAACGGCCCCCCATTGCCGGGCATCGTCAGCACACAGGGCATGACAAGACGACGCCGAAAAAATAGCGCGCGAAAGCCAAAACATTTCGCCTGACGGCAGGGAAACCTGGCACAGCAAGCAAGTGGGAGGCTTGGTGTTTTGAGCCTTGGTTCGGTTATTGGGAGGCTTGGCAGTTGGGGTTTGGGGGATGTCTGGCAGGCAGCTCAGTCGAACCAAGTTGGGACAACTTCGCCTAAGCTTGAACTATGCCAGAGCCCTTTGCACTTGTACTGAAGCCAATCAAATCGTTTCTGGGCAGACAAAAAATATTAACCCCAAAGGGAACCTGGTTGTACTTCGGGAGCCATCAAACCTAAACTCGTTTCGGGCAGCGAAATAAACACCGTGATTGGCTTGAGTACAGATGAACACAGCGCCTGGCATAATTTGAGTGTTTTTGGTAACTCCCGAGCCAAGTTTCCCCTCTCGGCCAACCGCCAACCTCCGCTGCACGCATGTATCCTCCCCATTGGCCCAGTTCCATTGCTGCTGCCCGAACCCAGCTCCACATTTGCCGGTTTCGGGTTCCGCTTGTCGGCGATCAGGTCGAGCTGGATCGCTTCGAAGTGCCCCCCAGAGAAACATCGCTACCTATAGTTTCGCAAATTTCGTCAAAAATTCGTCATGGGCCTCCTCAGCCACCTTCGCCTTCGCTTGAGGAGCTAATGTAACTTGTGAAATCACTCGCTAGCCTAGGAGTTGGTGGTGCTGCAGTGGGATGGCGGCGGTGAAGTGAGAGCATCTGCTGGTTGCGCAATTTTTTTTCAGACCTCCTCATTTCACCAGAAGTCATGCGTCCCCCTGCACTCTCACGAGCTGTTTCTCCCCAAACAGCTCCCAAGGGTCATCAGTCATGAATGATGACGAATTTCCCCAGGTCTCCCAAAACCCCACTGGCCCGTTGCTCGGGGCACCACCATGGCCATAGACACACATTGATATGGTCGAGGCTCGACGCAGCGCATGCTACCGAGCCGAAGCTTGCTGCACTGCTCTGCCTTTCAACTAACGGCAATCACATGCCGGGTTTGGCGTCTCCCGCCCAGCCACCCCGCCAACTTCACTCTTTTCGACGGCGACGGGTAGTACTGTAATCACGCACCAGAAGCGCACCCGTCGCTGCACTGCTGCATATCCCTGTCATGCACTCATCGGAGGGTGGCGGAGTGGAGGTTGCTTGCGAAATGGAGGGAACGCCTAGAGGTTGTCGGGGTTTCTGTCGGTCGGCCGAAAATGGCGAGTCCCCGTCGGCCTCCCTTCCGTTGAGAAGTCTTCTTCACCGGAAGATCAGGGCAGTGCCTGGGGCACGATAAGCTATCGCGCCGCTGTAGCTCATCAGATGACAATATCTTGCCGACACAGGGTTAACGAGTTGGCAGGACGAAGGGGAAAAAAATACTTATCGTTCCCGAGTTCGATAGATTCCCAGACCAGACCTGTTCCCTCATCACATTCTCCGAGTCTCCGAGATCAAGGACTCCTTAATCGTTTACTCTCTAAGTTAGTAGCTGTAACTTTAAAGTAGCAGAGACTATAAGTAACAGTATTCGTCGTTACCGGGTAAGTCCGACTTACCTCCGTGAGTCAAGCACCATGATCCACCCAAGCAAGCTTTGTTTTAACCGGCATACCACGGCAGCACGCAACAGGTTGTCTAGTAGACCTCTCAGGCTCGCGATTCTGCTGCTCTTACTCGGAACCCTCTTGACCGCCGCGCCTTGGGCGAGCAGGCATTTCGGCTCGCCTCTCGAAACCTCGCCTCGGCGATACCACCGGCGACGGTTGCTCTCGTCAGCGTCAGCAGCGTCATCGTCCGTAACTTGGTTACATTCCGTGTTTCGCAATTCTTCGCTGGGCCAATACTTTTCATCTCCAACCGTCCGGGATGCCTCAGAAGCCACTCCGCCAGCGTACCCCCCGGACGCGGGTCCGCTGCACATGCGTCGCCACGTCAGCCCCGACTATTTCCAGCCAAGCGCCACGCCACGTGTCCGCAACGAAACACAGCGAGACCTTCACGCGGAGACAGCCTCCGGCGGAAAAAGCCCTACCAGTACTAGCGAAGTCTGCGTGGCAATAGCTTCCATGCCACGTGTCTTTCCGAAGCAGCGGAGGCTGCCACCGTGGCACTTCCCCGTGTCCCTCCTCAGCATGCTGGAAGAGCGACGATCCCCGCCTGAAAGCGCAGACGGCTTTAAAGACATGCGCGTCGTCGTCTACAGCTCCGGCTGCAACGGGAAACCGGCAGGAGCCGTCGCGGCGACGACAGCAGCCTCGCCGAGGGCGACGGCGAAGAGTAACGTCTCCGACGGACTTAACGGATCTGACGGATTTTCTGACGGAGCGGAACACGTTCAAGCGGAGACGTCTACGACAAACGGACGGGATCGTTCTACCAGTAGCAGCAGCACTACTAAGGAGGACGGGGTAGTACCAATATCTCCTGAGGAATTGGAAGAGCGTAAGAAGACACTGGCAGCAGCGATGCATGAGCGAGCGTTGAAGTCGGCCGCGCGAAAGTCTTCCCTGGATATAACCGTGTTACCACCTCGCCAAGACGCGTGCGACTTCGTTCAGCAGGACGAGGAGAACGTGCGACAAATCGGTGTTACAGACGAGATGGCAAGCGACGGATGGGAACCCTGGCGATGGCGAACGAAACTGGTGATGGATTTCGTCTACGTCATGCGACAATGCATGGCGACAAAACCGAAATACATCCTGCTGCTCCAAGACGATACAAAGCCGGCCCGGCTCTACGACATCGGTATCGAGAAATTCATTAACGAGGAACTAAAGGGTCAAGAGTGGACCGTCCTAGCCCTCTACTACCCCCAGTCGTACCTGTGGCCGTATCAGCACGGCCAAAACTACCTGGTCCGTGCTGCGCTCAGGCTCTGCTTTTCAACGTATCAGCGCTGGAAGGCTTGCTAGGGTTTGTGGAGGAGCATTTTACGGAGGCTCCGATGGATTGGCTGCTAAACCAGTACCTGACTGGCTTCAATCGGACGGGATACGTGCACGTGCCGTCGCTGTTTCAACACATAGGCGACGTGAGGACTAAGGCGCCGGGCGTCGTCTCTCGAACGCATCGGGACAGGGGCTTTCGGGACGACTACGTAGTTAATCTACTGATGGAAGCTAACGATAATGAGTCCGCGAATGGTGAGGAAACGGCAGAAGGTGATGGGGAAGGCAGTGGGGTGCAGATGACCCCTCGGCAAGTTTTTCGCGCGTACCCGACAAGAGGAGTCGCGAGAGTCAAGGACGGATGTATGCGGATGAAGAATGAAGTAGAAATACTACGTATCTTTGTTCATAAAACCTTATTTTCTCATATATAAAATGTACAGAATGTCAATTGTTTGTTCATGGAAGCAAGCTTTCTACACAAATTGCTGCTGGGAATTCGGAATGAATGTGAGAAAGGACATTAAGGATTTTAGCGTCTCAACATAGCAAATTCATACAAGGTTGTACATTGTCGAGGGAGCCGACTGCTAAAACCCCACGGCAAAATAGAAGAGGGGTTCTCAAGTTGGAACCCCTCTTGATCAGGGCCCCTTTTGTGTCGAGAAGCTTTTTTATATTTGGAGCTGGGCAGCAGCCCGCACAATTCGATACTCAGAACACGTCCAGTTGGCATATTTCTGCCTTGCGAAATTCATACAGCGTAACGCGTCGTGGGCTGCACAACGTCACACGTGATTTTGCCACGTCGAATTGGGCTCCAATTGGACAACAAGTGGGCCCCGCTTGATTTTCGCCTAGCGAGCCCGCGAAAAAACAGGAATAGCAGAGCGGGGGTGTCGAGTGACCCGCTGGGTTACCCTGAAAAGATCCTCGGAGAAGGGCCACAAGTGCAGAGCCTGGGGGGTTATGGGCGCACTTACCCGCTATTTAACAAGCCCTTTAACTCAGTGGTTAGTGACCGGGTTTCTGACACGGGTCCCTCTTGAACCCCTCCCCCCCCCCCCCGCTCTGTCAAACATGTGTAGTTATCATGTTTGTATAGACTGTATAGGGTCACCTTCTAGAGAGTACAACATTTACGATATGTTTGTGTACTCTCTCTCTCTTATCATTAAATTCTAGGTTTGATATGGTATCACGAGTAGGTTTCGACCCCCCCCCCCCCCCCCCCCCACCTACCGCTTCCGCTCCTTCCCGTCGCGTCTCCTAGCCTTGCCTCAACCCTCCTGCTGCCTCAGTGGGTCGCCTGATCCTCCCCCTGCTCTTTCCTGACCTGGCGTCCTTCCCCACTGTCTCTGACCTCGCTGCCCACCTGCGCTCGATAGATGAGGCCTGGCGCGCTGCCTGCACTGATGCACAGCTTAGAGTCCACCAGCCTCCCATGACCTCTACCCTCTACCTCCTTGCCACCCGCCTCCCTGACCGCCTTGCCGCCGCCCGCGACCAGTTCCTTAGCATCCACCCTGCTGCTCTCACCCTCACCGACTTTGTTGACACCCTGACTGCCATAGAGACTCGTCACCGCTCCATAGCCCAGGCGAGCGGTACAGTACCGGTCCCTATCTTTCAGGGTTGTGCCCCCGCTCAGTGTACCTTCTCCGACGGCTCTGTCGCTGTGGCTGAGACTGCTGCTGCAGTGCAGTCCCGCTCGGGGAAGGGCCGCCGCCCCAAGGTTGGGAGCGGCGGAGGTGGCGGGGGTGCGGGTGGGGGTAGTGGTGGAGGCGGGTCGTCCGGTGCCGGTGCGGACGTGGGGACCCTGCCCGGTCCAGCTGCCCCGCTGCCTCCACCGTTGCAGCAGCCGCAGCAGCAGCAGCCTCCGCAGCAGCCGCAGCAGCCGCCGCAGACGAGGCCGGCGAGTGCTCTCCCGCCTGGGTGGCCTGGAGCTGGTGGTGGTCGTGCGCGTGGTGGTGCACCGGGTGGTGGTTCTGGAGGCGGGCCCTGTCAGTACCAGATCCAGACCGGTCCTCGCCGCGGCTTCGTTTGCGGTAAGATCGGTCATTCCACTCCTCGCTGTTTTCGTCGTCTGGACGACCTGTTCCGCCAGCGCTTTGGCCCGGCGCCCGACCTCCCGGACTGGCACAGCTTGCTTAGGCGTAGCATTCGGATTTTTGACTTGGACATGGATGCCATTGTAGCAGCCTTGCATGTGATGTATGCCGATGACTCTAGTGTGCTTCCCTCTTATTACCCCGTGTTGCCTAGTGTAGCTGTGCCTAGCGTAGACTCCCCTGCTGCGTCAGGCGTAGGATCTCCTGCTTTGCTTAGCCTCGGTGCTTCCACCGCTTCACTGTCGCCCCGCGCGACTGCTGCGCTTTCCTTCACCTTGGACTCTGGCGCCTCCCGGTGTTTCTTCCGCGACTCCACGACGCTGACGCCGCTGCCTGTTCCCGCTGCAGTTACTCTTGCTGACCCCCTCCGGTGGTCCGTCGTTGCCCGCAGTTCCACCTCCCTTCCCTGTCCGGCGGTCCTTCAGGTTCGCTCACCGGTCTGCATATCCCCTCGTTCTCCAGGAACCTAGTTGGTGTCGGCTGCCTCCCAGGACCTTGGCGTCACCACTACGTTCCCTGGTCACGAGCGGTATGCTGTCTGTACCGAGGCCGCCACTGGTGCCCCCCTTACCACTTTCCCCCGGGACCCGGTGTCCGGCCTGTTCACACTTGACACCGCGACGTCCCCGGCTGAGTCTTCCCCCCTGGTAGCTGCGTCCACCCAGGTTGCTGCTGCGTGCTCCTGTCGGTCCCTCACTCACCCGACTCTCCTTTTGGCACCACCGCCTTGGTCACCCTGCACTCCCGCGACTGCGTCACATGTCCCAGCACGGTCTCGTCCTTGGTCTCCCCGGTTCGTTCCCTGAGTTTCCCTCATCCCCCGCCCACCGTGCACGCCTTGTGTCGAGGGCCGGCTCCGCCGTGCCCCTCACTCCTCCTCTTTTCCCCCTACCACCGCACCCCTGCAGACTCTGCACATGGACGTCTGGGGCCCAGCCCCGGTTCATGGGCCGCGTCGCGAGCGCTTCTTCCTAGTGCTTGTCGACGACTTCACACGTTACACCACCGTCTTTCCCCTGGAGCGGAAGGCCGACGTGCCTGACGTTCTCATCCCCTGGCTTGTCTCTGCTCGTCTCCACCGCGGTCTCCCTGCCTTGCGCCTCCACTCCGACCGGGGTGGCGAGTTTCGCCTCAGGTGTCCTTGGTCGCTTCTGTCGTGCGGAGGGCATCACCCAGACGTTTACCCTGCCGGACTCCCCGCAGCAGAATGGGGTCGCTGAGCGACGCATCGGTTTGGTCATGGAGGTGGCTCGCACCTCCATGATCCACGCCGGTGCACCCCATTTTCTGTGGCCGTTCGCCGTGCGCTACGCCGCTCACCAGCTTAACCTGTGGCCGCACCCCCAGCGGCCGCCGGTTTCGCCGACCCTTCTGTGGACCGGGTCCCCTGGTGACGCGTCTGCGTTCCACGTCTGGGGCTGCCTTGCTCACGTTCGTGCCTCTGGCACGGACAAGCTCACTGCCCGCACCCTCCCCTGCGTCTTCCTTGGTTTCCCCCTTGACGCGTCCGACTGGCACTTCTACCACCCGCCGTCTCACCGTTTCTTTCACTCTCGCGACGTCACCTTTGACGAGTCCGTCTCCTTCTACCGCCGCTTTCCCCACCGTGGTCCCCCGGTTACTCCCCCCTGTTCCTGGTTCCTCCCTCCCTGGTGGCCCTGCCCCTCCCCCCCCCCGCCCCCCCGTCCGGCCCCCTCTGGTGTGTCTCACGTCACCCCCTCCCGTCGGTCGTTCCGGTCGACGAGTCTTCTGACTCTGGTAGTCCTTTGGCGCAGTCCTCGCCGTCTGTCCCTCCCCCGGTGTCTCCTCCTCCACCGCCTCCGCAGCCGCCGTCGCCGCAGCTGCTGCAGCCGTCGTCTCCGCCGCCGCCGCCGTCGAGGCCGTCGCTGCAGCCGCCGCCGCCGCCGCCGCCGTCGTCGCTGCCGCTGTTTGTGGACTCTGGGGGTGCTGGAGTTGAGGTGGGTACTCGTCCCGGGGCTCCTGTCGTGGCTTGTCCCCGCGGGCCTGGGGTGGTACCGGTGCTGGCGGTGTCTCGGGCTCTGGGGGTGTCCCTTCTGGGGGTGCCGGTGTGGAGGGTTCGGGAGGTAGCCGTCGCGCAGCTTGTGGCCCTGGCGTTGGTGTTGTGTCGACGCAGCAGCAGTCCCCGCCGGTGTCCGCCCTCCGTTTGCTCGGCCTTCCGTCCCCTGACCCTGCGCCTGTTCCTCTCCGGCCGTCTCCCCCTCTTCCCGTCTACGGCCCCGTGTTCCCTCCGCCGGACTCGTCCCCGGCTCGTTTTCCCCCTCGTTCCCCACCCGTGTCCCCTCCTCTGTCTCCTGACCCGACGCCGCCCTCTCACGTCTGGTCTCGCCGCCCCTCCCGTGCTCGTCCTGTCTCCCCCGTCCCGCGCACTCACCCTATGTTGCTCCGCTCCCACGCGTCTCGTCCTCCCCTCCTCCCGTCTCCTCCTCCGTCCTCTCTTGTCGTTGCGTCTCCTCCTCTGTCTGACTACTTTCGTGCCGCTCGTCCTCTTGTTCCTCGGGTCCTTGCCTCTCTCGTTACCGACCCGTCTGTTCCAGTGTCGAGTCTTGACGCCCTTGTCGCTGCGGTCGCTGACTTCGCCTCTACCCGCCGCCTTGACTACGCCTCCGCTCTGGTCTCTGACCCTGCCTGTCCTCCGTCTGTCGGGGGGTGCTCCTGCCCTCGGCAGTGACGTCCTGGAGGGACCGCCAGTTTGAGCTTGCTTTCCTGTCCGAGGCTGCTCCCCATCTCTGTTCCATGCTGCTAGTCCCTGAGGGTGACCCAGACGCTTTTGACATCCCGACCCCTCGTACTTACGCTGAGGCGGTTTCGGGACCTTGGGCCTCTCAGTGGATAGCTGCCATGGAGCAGGAGATGGCATCTTGGAGATCCACCGGCACCTTCGTCGACGCAGTTCCCCCACGTGGGGTGAACGTGGTCGATGGCCGTTGGCTCTTCAAGGTGAAGCGCCCCTCCTGGAGAGCCGCCTGTGTTCAAGGCGCGTTACGTGGCTAGAGGCTTCAGTCAGCGCGAGGGGGTGGACTTCTTTCAGACTTTCGCTCCTACCCGAAGATGACTACTCTTCGGGTTCTGCTACACGTAGCGGCCCAGCGTGACTACGAGCTTCACTCCCTCGACTTCTCCACTGCCTTTCTTCAGGGCAGCCTTCACGAGCAGGTCTACCTGCGTCGTCCTCAGGGCTTTACTGGCACCTTCCCCCTGGGACCCAGTGGCTTCT